ATCCTGTCTTAAAAACTCACACAGGTGGAAGCATCTTTAATGCTAATTAACATTCATCAGTCTCTTAATGGGTTTCTTTTTCTAAGGGTCATTAGTACAGAATATTATTTATCTCACCATTTAATTGGAGAGGGTGGAAAAAAAACCCACTAATTTTATCTCATCTTTGACAAATTTGAAGACAGAAACAACAGGAAACAAACCATTTTGTGCTCCAGATCATCATCTTAAATCTGATACTGACCAAAGTAATTAATCTGCTTCTATGAATGACGGGTTGATACCATAGATGGCATGTCCAGCTAGAAAGGGATCTATATTCCCCACCTCATGTTCCTTTCCAGTAGGAAAAACTGGTAGAAGTATGATATCTTCCTGTTATCCTTTGTGATGGATTCTCTAAACAAAATACATTAGAACAAGAAGGAACAAAACTTAGTACTTCTGCTACCTACTTTTATGCTATTAGAAGATAAACACCTATTTCCAGCCCTGAATTGTTAAATCTGGCACTTTTCCCCAAAGGTAAGTACATGATTGTGTCCACTCCTTTGAGCTGCAATAACATGGAATTGCAGAAATTAATCCAGGAAAGATTAGAATGTTTGAGGGGCTTTTATTTGTTTGGTTATTTTTTTTGTTTGCTTCTTCCCCGCCACCCTCTTCCAATTACAGTATAATGAACCCTGCAAAGAGAAAACCTAAGAACAAGTGACCAAAAGTCTATTTATTCCCATTTCTTGTCTCTCTTGGTGGATAAAGTTGTCAATAGATTTTAAAAGGAGAAAAAGCACAATTAACTATGTCTTTAGAAAGTCTTTCATTTTCCCGTATTTTGTTATGTGAATATAGCACCTTTAGCTTATAGCAATGTAAAATATACTAAGAGGAGGCAAGTAACCCCATCCCTAAAGTCAGAAAAGTAAAAACACCATCTGGATGGAGTATATTACCTAAGGCAGATGTTCTACTTGGATGCGACTCCACGTTTGACCCTATTTCCAAATAGAAATGAAAGAACGGCAGAATAGGAATACATCATTAATGCTAGAGATTCTGGTATTAGGTATTCAAAATACTATCATCATCTTTAGAATGATTAAATATAGTACTTCCCCCACTCACACATCTCAACTTCTTCTAACAATAAAACAAGAATTGTTGCCCTTTTCATGAAATCTTTGGCTATACGATGAACTCTTTTCTTTCACAGAGGAGCACATTATTTTAAGAACAGCTTCAATATGATTTCTTCTGAAGAAACTACTATCACTCTTAGGTTTTCCCATCACAGATACACTATCACAGAAAACTCTGATGAAATTTAAGCTTATCCTATTAGAATCATAGCGTACTATTCTCAGGGACCTAATTTTTCCTTAAGACTTTTTTTTTTTTTTCCCAAAGATACAACAAAATTTTTAAAAATATTCAATTTGACAGCAGTTGAGTGAGAATGCCCCTGAACACAGTGATACAGGTTCTTTGGAACAAATACTAATATGTGAAAAATAATAATCTGGTTTTGTTACATTTGACAGTAGATGACTTGAATGAGAATTAAAATTAGAGAATAGAATAAAAGACACTATTTCAGAACAGATTATAATTAGTCTAATAGACTTCTCTTTCTGTTTATTTCTCACTCTCCATCCACAGCCACCTTATCTTTTTTTTTTGTCTTTAACACAACCACTTAACTGTCACAGATTGCATCTGCTATTATACATATAGGGACAGCAGTGCAGTTATCTGAGGAGACAAACAGTTCTTCACACAGGTATCCAGCTTTCCTTCTACTGCTGCTGTTGTCAAAGTAGTAAATATTTAAATAATGCAGTTACAAATGTAAGTAGCTAGCATACTGGCAACAATTGTAAGGGTAGTACAAGAACACCCCGGGAAGAGCTGGGAGTTGTATGTCTGTAAAGCTAAGATATAAAATCAAAATCTCTCTTATTTTGTACTTGGAAAGTAAGATTAACTTGAAACTGATATTAGAAAAGCATAGAGCACTCAGAGTGGCACCTGTATGTCTCTGATCAAGGTCTTTACTATGGTTTTATAGGGTAAATGAAAACTGCTGTTGTTTCTGAAATATTAGTAGTGTTGTCTGACAAATAGCTCCTATTGCAAAGACCAAAAAAAAAATAAAAAAAAATGCTGAAGTCACACTTATGCTTTCATACATTCTACTGAAATACAAGCAGATGTTGTTTAAGTCAGAGTTGTCTAAAATAAATTTAAAAATAAACTAGTGTTCAGCTAGTAATAAATTTAAATGTTGTTTTCTTAATCTCCCCATACCCATACAGTTTTCAAAATCATGTTTATGAAAGAACTATAGATTATGAGGTTTAAAACATTGGTACATTTCATTAGAAATCCAAGTTTCATGCCTTTTGTTTTGCTAGAATATTGTTAAAGCCTTCAAGAAGTGGGATTGCTCAAATAGTGTAGAAGTTAAACTCAAAACTGAAAAGGGCAACAATTTTTTTCCAAACTTTACTATTTTCCAGATAATAATTCCAATTTGAATCAGAAGCTGAAACACGAAAATAATACTTGTCATCAAACCTTTGGTTTCCTCCACTTCATTTAAGGGCTGAAAATAGTCAAATTGAAACTAGGAATTCTCCTTCTACTCTGAAACACCAGGGAAAAATGGGATTCCTGAATCAGAAAAATAATGACAGCATTCAGTATCAAGAAAAAGATACAAACTTAAGTCAGAACTATACTTTGGGTATCTACTCACTCTTTTTATTTTAATGAATCACAAGGTTGTAGTTTCTAGCACAGCTACATGTGCTTCCCTTCTCTTAGGTCACAATCCTGCTTTTGCTCCCTGGGAAAAAAACCAAAACAACCAACCACCGGTTTGTAGGAAAAAAAATACAAAATGAACATAAGAAAAATGGAAAACAAGCACTTCAGAAAAGATCTAAGGACAGGAGAAGAAGGAAGGATAGCACTTATTATTTAGGCACTACACTGAGACTTAAAATTTCTTGCCTTTGACATAGATTTCTTGTAGTTTTGGACAGGTTGCATTGGATGCAATTGTTGAGTGACTAAATGTAGGGTAACCAGGTTCCAAACACTGGTGGTTCTTGATGTGGCCTGATAACACCTTCTCAAGGTAGGATCTCCCTTTCTTTTAATTCCTTCTCTGAAAAACTGGAATAACATGTAGCTGCTTCATGGAGGTGCCATCTCTCCTCGTGAATGTCTGTATCTCATTGCAAAAAAGTGCCTCTCAACATGAAAAGTAGCATCGCGGTGATGGAGAACCCTCAAACACCTTTGGCAGAACTCAAATAGGAGAAAAGAAAGGAATGGAAATTGGATATTTAGTTTAAAAGGAAGGATAAATGGCTACTGGAAGTACCATGTGCAAAAAGCAGCTAGAAGTCTGTCAGAAAGTTGCAGCTTATTTACTCTGTTTTGTTCCTTTTAAAGGAGTTCTGACCAGGAAGGAAACCTGCGCTGTAGAAGCCCATGTGATTTGTGATTTTTTACTACCAAGGATTATCTTATCTTGTTTCATAAAAACATCTGTGGCTTGGAATAAAACAAAACTAAAAGACCTTTTGCAACACCAGCATGCTTAGGGAACAAAACCTGTAAGGGGCCGTTCCTATGCTAAGCTAGAGCTGGTTGGTCGGCCAAGGAACAAAACTCCCTCTTCTCAGCAGGAGCAAATGCATTGCCCCCAGCTACCCCTGGCTGGCAATATGGGAAAGTGTATTCCTGTACTCATTTACCTCAGCTTTCCTTTAAGAAGGACACAAAATGTCAGCCTCCAGAAGGAATCCAGCTACATCAGAACCAAATAAGTGTGTTAAGGACCTGCTCGAACCTCGCTCTGAGAGTATCGTCCAAGCTCTCCCCTTGACTGCTCTGCTCCAGCTAGACTTTTTTGTGCGGTATCAGTGGGGTTCATTAGGTTTTGGGACCAGGTTGTATTTCAAACACTCCAAATCTAGAAGAACATGAAACATGCCTCTGGGGAAAGTGAAAAATCTAGCTTCAAGCTGCTTTCACTCATGTATTTGGCTCAGCGTTTCCTCTGTCAATGAAGGGTTTCACCGGCCATTTGCAGCAACGCTGATCATTTTGGCCATTCGACTGTCACAAATAGGCTATTTTCTTCAGCACAGTTTGTGACAGAAAATTTGTATGAGCTAGGTTAATGAAAGAATTAATTAAATGACAAAATACATTTGGTGCAGGAGGATTCCTTCCTATATTTTTAACAGGACTCCAAGGAGAGGTGAGTTCAGTGCAAAAGGAGGCTTTGTTCAATTACGTTGACCCGCCTTTTACCAAGTGATTCTTCAGGAGCTGTTCGAGTTTTTCTCTGCTGTAGATTTGCGGGGCTCACCAGTTCCCAACTACTGCTCATTCTTTATGACTACATCTTCTGCTTTCTCAGGAAGGAGAGCAAGGATATGACAATAAGTAAGTGGTTTTAATATGAGATGCAAGAAAACATATAACCAACCTCTGAAATTTGTTGCAGGGATTGTTAAAACCTGTCTTAGCTATTATTCAGAGATGTTTCCAGTGAAGTAAGTTGTTTTGACTGAATTCATCTTCAAAACTACATTCATGAACTCTAGAATTTGTCCAAATATTTGCTGCAAACACTAAGTTAAAGAAAACTCGAAAAATAATTTCAAAGCTATACACTAAAATGACTTTTTTCTTTAACAATTTCTGATTTTTAGTGCATCTTACAGACAACCCAATAGCCCAACCTTTGGCTGAATTCCTATGAAACAGTAGTTCTGCTAACAGTTTATTGATGTTGCTTTCTTATTATTTAGCATCTGGTTCTGATATTAATTATTTAGCTTGTATAGCAATGAGTGTCACAGAGTAAATAACAAAATAGCAGCTTCAATTACAGAAAGCAAAAATCAACCAACTACAAAGAATACAGTAAAACTGTTAGACAACATAAACTATAAAATTATTTTCTTTCGGTTACAGAAATGGACTGCCATTTTTCTGTCTGGGGAGTTTTGGCCTTTCTGAGTTTGGCTCTGGTTATTTCATTGATACTGAACATTTCGCACTGTATGAAAAAGAAGCAAGGTAAGTAATGCTGTCTCTCTGTAAGGAATGGAGTTTGAGCATTTAAAATGTCTATAGAGAAAGCCATCACTGCTGGGAGATTTCAAGCCAACAAACTGATTCTTTTGAATCTTGAAGTTACCTTTTCGCAACAATGATTGTAGTAGATTGTAGTAGAGAGGATGTAACTTTTAAAAATTTTTAGAAGAGTCAGGTATGATTACAGAATGAATGGTAGTTGCCCAATCTGCCGCTAAAAACAGCTACCCAAATTCATTCTCTGAATACAAAAAAATAGAACATGTACTAGGTGAAGAATTTAGTAAATTTTCTGGCTAAATTTTTGTTTTGAAAGTATATTTTTAACATCTGTAATTTCCTTTTCTTAAGTGTACTTTTCATGTAACTAGTATTATTCATATTTCAATTTAAAAATTATTTTAAGTAGCTGCACTGATACAAAATACATTTGAGAAAATTTTCTCCTCCCAAAATTCCTGAATGCTTATTTGAATTTCAGATTTCATACACATTTTATGTTTAACCAATTTATTTTGGGAAAAAAAGTTCTAATTGCTTTTCATTCTGGGATCCTAATGTAGCTCTCGAATCAATGTGTCACAAGGAACAGATTTGTTTAATTTATATTAGAGGGTGACTACAGTCATTCTCTGGTTTTGGTTAAAGTTAACTATGACTTTTTTAACAGAATTGATTGTGCCAGTCCAACCTCTCTTATGCATACAATTCTATAGTTATTAAGTTATACAATCCTCACCACTCCTGTTCAGGGAAAACTGCCTTTACACAGTGAAAACTGCACCTGTGCTATACACATGTGGGTGGGCAGGCAAACACTCAAGGATTCAACCACATTAAACACAAATACATACATAATCTACATAAACAGAAGGCCTGTGCTTATAAACTGATCTCACCAAGTATAAGAGAATTTGATTATTACAGGGTATTTAAAGAGCTGCTAGAGTGTGGCAGGATTCGGGGGTGCTTTTTGGTTTATTTTGTCTGTTAGTGCTACTAGGCAGATATTTCTATGATGAAAACCCATAGTCATTTACAAAACTAACCTTGAGCAAGATTTCGGTCAGATTGGCTGATGCTGCATTGCTCATGGAATCGGAGTTTACTGTGGTAAATTCTGGAGTCCTGGAGCAGAGGGTAGAAAGTCAAAGATTCCCGTGTTGTTAATCAGGCTCTAGCAATAAATCCCTTTGTAGCTATTGCCTCTCTGCTTCAGTTTCTTCATCCATGTGGATCACAGGATATCTCTCTTTCAGACTTACAAGCAGCAGAATTAGTAAAATAAATAAACCCGTCACCTTGTAATATAAACACTTGATGCACCTCCCTAGGCAGAGAATAAGATGAGGTAGAAGCAGGAGGAGGAGAAAATAAGGAATTAATCGTGTGTGTTACAATACATTTTTGGGATCTTGTAAACCAATGTAGACCTTGCAGCCAAGCACAGGCTCATAACACAAACTTTTCTTGTATTAGTCAAAAGTATATGAGAAAAGCAGGGGGACAACTCAAGGTCCTGAGAGCCAAGAGCTTTCAATTTTACTCTCTACAGTGAAATCAAAAGCGTGTCAGTTGAGACAACTCTCTGAAGTGTTCTAAAACAGCACATTTCATTTTATCTTAACTTTATTTTTTTTTTAAACAAATTTTCCAGCTAAAATGTATGAAGACTATGAAGACAACAGTCCAAGGTAAGTTGGATAAAAAAGTTTCTTTCTGGCAAGGCTGAAATAAGCAATAAATAATGACAGATGGCTTTGGAGGGATGGCATAGAGGAAAATCCAATATCTCGTGTAGCCTGCCTGGTAATGTTGGAGAGCAGGATGGTTGTGGAAAAAAGTTTTCCAGAGAAAACAGGAAAAAAAGAAATTCAAGTGTGAGAGATGTACTCCCATCATTTTATCTACAATGAAATAATTGCATACTAATATGATAATTTTATCTACTGAAGGAAGTGCAAGATATTGAGCTAAACTACTATGTACTATCACTCAAACTCAACAAATCTAAAATAATTTAAAAGAACTCTTAGAAAACAATAATAAATTATAGTCTGAAATACATACTTGTAGAGCAATTGTTTACATGTATTTCTGTTTCCTACTCTTCTTTTACATATGACCTTCAAAAGCAATAAAACAGAGTCTGTTTACAGCTGCTGAATACCTCATGATCTTTTACAAGTCTGTTTCTCTTATTCCATATAAAAAAAACCAAAACAAACTTTAGAAAACAGAGATGGAAAGAGTCTTATCTCAACCCAAATATAAAAGGCCTTTGAAACAAAAATTCGAAAGCCTTCACCTGTTCCCCAAAACCAATTCTCAACTACAAAATTATTTGAAGTTGGGAAGTCTCTGTTTGTCTTTTACTGCTGATCTGTTGAAAAATACCACTGAAAAAGTGGTGTTACATTGCATGACTTCATTCCCTTGACGAGGCACAGTATAGGGATGCAACAGCAACAAGGCTACACAGTCCTTCCCACTGACAATTCTCATTTTACAAACTTGCTTAAAAACAATTTCAAGCAACACCAGGTAATGAAACACAACATACCATTAAAAATCCAAAGCTGAACTTTGCTTTGGTCTTCTCTGGTTGTGTCGACATAAGTATTTTAATTGACTCAAAAGTGGACTTTTTAAGAACATTGCTCCAAAAAACCCATTTAGTGCTTTAGTTTGTATTGCAAAGTGGTCTCAGAGGACATGAACTGAGTTTCTTTAAGTGATTGTTAATATTTCTAGAACTACATCAAACAGTTCCTTAGCAGTCTTTAGATTAGCTTTATACTTAACTAAGTTACAGGAAAGAAGAATTCAAATCTTGGCTAGATAACAAATCTCTCTTCAGAATACAGATATTGCCATTTCTTCCCCTCCCGATATTTTTGGTCTTATTTTTTAGATCACATATAATCTGCGATTGCTATACGTGTATAAAATGTTTTGAGTAGACTAGTGGGGTCCTAAAGAAAGCATATTCTGTGAATTACAAGTATTTTTCCATTCCCCTTCTAGCTATGATGACTATTACACAGAAGATGACCCAGTTTATGGCAATCTCAATCAAGATATTTTAGGTAAGCTTCACTTTAAGAACACGTCTGTTCAGAGGCTATAAAAAACATATGGTTACAAAGCTGACTGACCAAGACTTTCTGCGTTTCTCAAATAGCAGACTTGAGAATCTATTCCTTTTCAATTCCTGTGTTAATACCTACTTGGGATAGAACTGCAAACCATGACACTGCATTACTATTTGTAAGACCAGATCTCGCACTGAACTTGGTTCTTTTTTTTTTACAGTCGAAACAGTCCTGTTCAGCCAAGCATCTCAAAACCAAGAGCTTTTCTACACGTTAAGCTGCACGTAAAGTTGAAATAACAGCTTGATCCATGCACGTGAAAGCAATCTAAGACACATACTGCTCACTGCCCAAAGTCAATGCTCCCACAGAAGCTGGCAGAAACAAACACGTACCAGTTCTCTGCTGTGGCTATCCACAGATCATCAGCAACATTGACAAATATGCTGAAACAAGCCCAGTGCCTGAATGGTGGGCAGACGTAGCTTTTCCCTGCTTTACTGGGCTGAAGTTAATAATCCTTGGCAGAGAGATACCACATTAAAGGCAGTAACATAACTGCAGCTAGAGCTAGATATGCTGAGGGTATGTCTCTGGAAGGCTTTATGGCGTTAAAGCAGTATTTAAGTCACAAGAACACAACTTTTTTGCTAGCCTTATTTGGGGTTAAGCAAAAACTAAACTAAAGTATGTGAACTACGGGAAAAAAACACCCACATCCAACTTTTTCATACAGAGTTTGCATAAATTTAACTAAGCCAACACTCAAATACATTGACACTAAAGTCTGAAAACTGTAAGGAAGTAAGTAATCTGTTTTACTGATGACTAAAATGAGATATGGCATCAGAAAATAACTTGCACCAAGTTTACAGAAATTGGAAAGTAGATCCAGGAACAGAATTTAATCACCAGCTGCTGCAACTCACAGCCTCTTTCTCAGCTAAAGAAAAGATTGCCTATGTTGAAAAATATGTCAGTGTGTGGTTATCCCCTAATTGCAAGATGTCCTCCTAGCAGTCTAAAATGATGCTCACTTAGTGAATAATCAGAAACTTCCCATCCATATGAACAGAAAATTATTTTCATTTTCACAGTATGTATGTCTGAATTTCTTAGCTATTTGCCCCTCTATAAATAGAGGGAAAGATCTGTGTGTGATTTCAAAAGAAAACAAACTTCTACCAAAGTAAACTGGAGGGAGTTAATTCTGTAACACGGAGGATCTGTTGATCTGATCTTTTAAGACTCAGTAGCGTCTCTTAATAACTAACACGTTTTTCTACTTTGATAGAGGAATGTTGTTACGAGCAGATGAAGTCCCAGCCTCAAAGGCCAGTTAACCAACTACAGGTACCTTTAATTTTAATTCTGGATTCCTGAATTAGGGTAACGTTATCTGTCTCTGAGTTCTTGTGTTTATCCCATGACAATATATAACAAAAATCTTCACACTGCTCATTACAAAAATTACCATGCATTAGTGTTTCAGTTCGTCAGGGAATTTAAGCACAGACTTGACCCGTTGTTCAATCTGGGTCATTAATAAGGGAGCAGGAGAATTATAGACAGCTCATTTCCATCCATATGGCTTGATAAAGCTCAGTCACGGGCATGCAGATCAGGCTGAATTAAGCCTGCATCTACTGCCATGGCTTATGTAAAGAATTAATTTTATTTTGGACATCAACCAAGTGAAAACACAGGCTGCATCACCTGATAATCATGAGTTTGACTGGCGCTCTCATGCCCAGCACAAAACCTATATACCTTAACAAATGAAAGACAACTGTTTTTCTATTGATTTGTATTTTGTTGAGATACCTGGATACCTAAAATCATACAAGCTTGAACTGAAATTTGTCTGTAATTGAAACATTCCTAGAATAAATTTCCTGAGTTGATTTCCAAGTATTTCATAAGGACTGATTTTCAGCCTCTCTCAGGATACTTCCAGGGGGTAGAAATATCCTTTTTTAATCTAGACATTTGTTTTCATTAACCTCACGGAAACAGAATAATTATGAAAATTCCAATGTCAACAGTGCTTGACAATTTGGCTTGAAAAACAAGAGAGAAGCAGGGGAGACACAAAAAGCATACATTTTACACTGGAAATGAGATCACATATACAGACAAGAATCACCCACCTTTGGTTTTCTACACAGACAAAGCCTGTGAAAAATGTTGCTAATAACTGGATTCTAATTAAAAAAAAAAAGGGAAGAAAACCAGATCAAATAATGTCTTGCATCCCAAAGAACTCGCACTGATTTATATAAGCCACCCTCATTCCCATAGAGAATCTTTCTGTCCTGGTTTCAGCTGGGATAGAATTAATTTTCTTTGTAGTAGCTGGTACAGTGCTGTGTTTGGATTTAGTATGAGAGTAACATTGATAACACAGGGATGTTTTAGTTCTTGCTAAGCAGTGCTTACCCTAAGACAAGGGCTTTTCAGTTTCCTGTGCTCTGCCAGCAAGGAGGGGCACAAGAAGCTGGGAGGGAGCACGGCCAGGAGAGCTGACCCCAACCAGCCAAAGGGATATTCCATAGCATAGAGTGGCATGGCCAGTATAGAAACTGGGGGAGTTGGCTGGGAGGGGATGGTCGCTGCTCAGGGCTGGGCTGGGCATCAGTTAGTGGGTGGTAAGCAATTGTATTGTGCGTCCCTTGGTTTTCTGGGGTTTTACTCCTCTCTCTCTTTTTTATCTCTCTTTTCATTACAATAATTATTATTGTATTTTACTTTATTTCAATGATTAAACTGTTCTTATCTCAACCCACGGGTATTACCTTTTTCCGAGTCTCCTCCCCATCCCACCGAAGTGGGAGAAGGAGTGAGCAAGCGGCCGCATGGTGCTTAGTTGCTGGCTGGGGTTAAAGCATGACACTTTCTAATAATACCTTGATGAATTGTTCCTTACTGCCACTATCCTAAGAACCTGAGTCATTTACCATTAGGATATGCTGGCCTCTTTTCTGTGCTGCCACAGCTTAACCATTTGTATTTTTAATGAGTTCATTTACAGCTAGTTTGGATAAACTTCAGCCACTATTATGATTACAGTGTAGACATACTCAAAGTCTTAGACATAATTTTAAAGCAAGCATAACTACTGAGTGTTAAATATAAAGTGAATTTCCTTCTAGGTGGAGTCTGCCAATCAGATGTGTTATGCCTCACTTGATCATAGCGTCAAAGGAAAACGCAGAAAACCAAGGAGAAAGAAAGACCCTTCATTAGAGGAGGATGAAGAAGAAAGATCATCTAACCCCACTATGACTGCTTCCAAAGTTAGCATTTACCTCAATAGTGAGCAGTTGGCTACTGAAAACACAGCAAGTGTAGAAGCCATTCATGACGATCCCATCAGATTAATGGGTTTGATTCATACTACAAAAGGAGAGAACATTTGAAGTGGCTTCAGGAACCAAATATGTAATCATAATGTGAGATCTGCTTGTTCATTCTGCAGGAACAGTGAATGATTAGAGATAATATCCTGGCAAACTGACATACCAAACAATGGTATAAAATGGGTAAGTTAAGTGTTCCAAAGTGTCTTCCAAGCATATTTACAGACTAAGCAAGAAGTTTGGATAGATCCAGACTGCCACTTTGAAGGATCTGCCCTTCTGAAGACATTTTGCAAGGGAGTTGTAGAAGCTGGTATCTCAGCATTCACATGGTATTGATTTCAGTAAAAATTAATCCTTTGTTTAAAACCACCATCAACTTTCAAACAGTCCCAGAAGACCCACTCTGTTGTCTGTAGAGCTCTACCAGAGTATAACTATTCTTCTATATAGGTTTTAACAATACTTTTGGAAGGAAATCACCTTTCATACTTGCACACTTAATGATTTAGTTGTTTTCCCAATTAAAAACTGATCTGCTGTTCAACATTGTGTACTTTCCCACTGTGCCTGGTCTATGGTAATAACACAATGTATCTAAAGCTAATTAGAGAATAATTTAACAGTTTGTTTAAAGTAGTAATTGTACATCTCACAAGATTTAATAATATCCTCATATATCTTTAGTTTCCATCTATAAGCAATACCAGAATACCTCTCAAATCTTAACTCTTCTAACGTAGCGTTGTATCCAGCCGTATTCAAAAATCAACAAAGATACTAGCAAATGATCTGTAACAATAAATCTCCTAGTGATGATTTTTTTCCTTCTAATATTCTATGTGATGTTTAAATTTCTATTGGATTTTACATTGCCATTGTTACCAACTATTTTACAAAAGTAAAAAGAGCTTTTTATTTCCCCAAATAATTCACACACTGTGTGCACGTTCATCTTAAGACTTTAAACTCATCAGATAGTAAACTTTTATAGAGTGGGGATTCATTTTTATATTCTGGGAGTCATTAAGTACTAGTAGCAGGAAAGAGTAAGGCATGTTGATGTAATATGCCTACCTCTAGGTGTTGGACAGTTCTGCCTTCTCAGAAAAAGGGTATCAGTGCCTTTAAAATCCACGCAGAGGACAGTGTCAAGGAGCTTGAAACTCTCAAGAACATACAGAGGCCTGTAAGTGTTTCAGGTCCTGAAGGAGATAGCCCTGAAAGCAGTTACCAGGGAAAAAAAAAACACCAAACAAAAGTAACCAAACAAAAAGCCCATAGTAAAAAGAGTCAACACCTCTTCTAAAAGCAGAAGTGGATGGACACATCCAGAGATAGGACAAATTTATGAAGAAAAAAAAAATTAATTGTAAAAGAAACAGTTCTTTGACAGCCAGTTCCTGTTCAGTTTAGCTCATAGTTAATGAACCTCTTTAGCATGCCTTAACTTTTATGCTAGACCAAAAGGAAGGGCTCAACCCCTGCCGCCAAAGCTGCCCAGCGTCACTGCCTGTCTTGTGCTAGGCGTTTCCTTGCGTACAGAAATCAAGTCAATATAAATTTGTCTGCTAGAGCCCAGAAACAAGGCCTATTTGGAATGAAAGTGACTATTATCATGGTCTTAGACCAACTACCACTGGATACACAAAAATAAATACTGTTGACTAGATAAAAACCACTTTAGGGGAGGACCATATTAAACAATGACCCCGACTAAGATCCTAAGGAGGAAAAGGAGGAAGGTAAATCCAAAGCCAAAGAGCCAAAGCCAAAGATCCAAAGCTAAACACGAAGATATCAGTGCATGAAGTACTAAATTAGTTTGATTAGATTGGAAGGAACTATACTTTCTTCCATAGTAGGAACAAAATAAGTAATAAAATACATATCAACATACTCTTGCTTAGACTCACGTATCAAAATTGTTTTAATAGCATTAACATGTAAAATATTTATATAAAATATTTCAAGTTAGCTGGCACAAGTCAGATGCAATGCTCAGCCCTCTGAGATGATTAAAAGAGAAAGCTTTCTTAAACAATCTCAAGCAAATAAGTATATACCCAAGAGTCTATTTGTTACTATTTTCCAACATACACATGAAGCAAGGGATGCTGTATTTTCATTTAATATAAATTGTGTAACTTTGTACAAAAGTTGCCACTTCCCACTTGTCTCACAGCATTTGGACTTTTGATTATGCCTTTCCTCTAAAAATTCCAAAGTCAAAGAATTTCTATGAGTTACCTAAATTCAACCTGTCATTTCAGCCTGATCATTAATTTAATGAAAATGAAGTACATAGTTCTCTCATTGAGTGTTCATGTAACAATAAGTCCACTTCATGGGATTTAGGTACATCTAGTTTCCTCTGTATTCTTAGTCTACATTGTTTAGTCCAGTTATTTTTTTATGCCAATTTTTAGTAGCTGTTTTCCCTTGCAACATAGCTTGCTAAAAGAGCAGGGCACTTTTGTAAATTTTCTCCTTCAATATATACTTCCTTTCCACATTTATTCACTGCTTCCATTAAATTATTCACCGCTGCTCTCACAGACTCCACTTCAGGATCATCTTTAATGGCCTATCAACTGTTTCAAAGGCACTCCTAATGCTGCCACAGTCCAGACTTAGCTTTATTCCTCCAGCCCTTTACCCTCTGTCTGCTTAAATAAGCAGCTGAATGACCTATTTTTTTTTTAATGACTTTTTGGGATAGTTTTGAATGACTACTGAATTCTTACATGAAAGAGCATGTTCAATATTGCTCCATTTTCAAGCCATTAGAGAAAGACCTACATAAACTATCATATATTACTTAAATTCTCGATGTATAAAGAAAGTTTCAACTAATTACAACAAAGTAAGAAAAGGAGATGCTAGGTCTAAATTCATACCATCTCAGTAACCTAGCCTGTTTTTCCAGTTTTGAAAGCAGAGGGAAGCAGCGGGAAGCTGTTTTTATTAACAACAAGCTTAGCATTCAAGTATCAGTTCAACGGAACAATGAAGAAAGAGTAAACAAGAGGAAATACAGTGGAAGAAGCAAAACTGTTTGGAAAGGAAGAACGGAGCTCAAAATGGAAGAGAGATCAAGTAGCACCTTGAAATCTTTCTAAGTCTAGAACAGGCATACTCCAGTAGTCGTTATAGCATCTGACAATCCCTGCAGATGTAGCTGTTTAAACAGTATTGTTAGGAAAAACAACACAGACTTTTGGTTATATCATACTTCTAAGAGTCTGATGACTCAAGTGGATGTTGGAGGATCAAACTAAAAAGAATTGTGTAACTTTCTCCCATTTTTTGCTACTGCTAGCACCAAAAAGGTAGCATTAGAATGAGCTTATCTTCCAACACCTCAAGTTTTTTCAAGAACTACCTCTTGAAATTCTTATGAAGTAATTTTCGTGGAGATAATGAATTATTGCTATGTTGTTTAAATAAACTTACCTTCCTACCTGGGTAAAGCCTGCATTCAGGTTGCTGTGCAGAAGTCCTATCTAGAGTCAGAACATATCCAAAATCCAATTCCAGTTTACTTTTAAGTTACTTTAGAACATAAAACATGGAGTTATGTAATCTCTCAGTATTGGTGTATCAAGAAATCCTGGGAAATAAGTACCTCAACAAATCCAAGGGGAAGGTAGTTCATAAAACATATCCCCTACAGTCTGGAACAGGGAGAAAAATGAGCCACAAAAACATTTGAGACACAACTGTTTGTTGCTGTTGTTGAAGGAAACATAATATACAAATGATAACAGATAGAATGTGTGTGTGTGTGTGTGTGTATTGCACAAGTTCTTGTCTTATTGCAGAGTAAACCGCACTGAAGCTGGCTTCTAGTTCCATTCAAGAACAACACTTAAGATAACAAGATCTTGGTTTTAAGAGTTAAAATAACATAAACCATTCCTGTGTGCCCACAAATGAAGTAAAGCCAAAGGAAAATGATTTTTTCCTTTTCTGGAGCTCTGAAAGCTGACAAGGGGCAATGCCAATAAAACAGTGTGTACTTGACCTGACACTTACCACTAAAACAATCTGCTTGCCAAGAAAGAACACTGCAATTAAAACCTGTGGGACTCTGCCACATCGTTCTCATGTATTTGCTGTAGGTATACAAACTCCTCCTGAGAATTCACATACCTGAAATAAAATGTTGAAAGCAGGTATTTGTTCAGAATAGATTTTTATTTAGAACATATATTGTGTCAGGTAGAATTTTGTCAGAACACAGAATATAACTATCAAATCCACAAAAAATTTTCAATAAAATTTTATTGAACAATCAACCTTGGTGAGCTACTTAGAAAATTTAATATTAAAATTGCATAGCAGGCATATTACAAGTCATAGCGTATAATGCTGCATTTGGATCATCCAGCCCAGTTTAGAGTTTTTCTTTCATTTACTGCTGATAGATCTATAAAGCATAAATAGGCAGAAATCCAGCAGAAAGAGCTTGTTACTTATCTTATTACTAATATGTTCAGAATCAAAGCTTATTAGCAGATAAAAAGATAATACAGATCACAGTCTGTTATTATAAATACTGCTAAATACGTAATTTAAGTTTAGCCATAGAAAGGAACCCTGATTCCCTGCAATACCTGATGAAGCCGAGGGAGTAAGTAGTGCCCTGTCAGAAGGGACGAACCAGTTCCTGAAGATTTATATTATAGGGAAGTATAAATCAGGACTATTTGTATATTACATACACATAATACATCCTTGATTCTTGGAAGAAGAAAGAAAAACACAACCAAACTTTATAAAACAATGTTTTCTGTGTAGCAGTCCATGAGTGCTCCTTAGTGAGTTTTGACCAGGATATCGTCCAAGGGATTGCTAGGATTTTGGTCTTTCCCATCACTGTAGCTCAGTTTTCTGGGTACCCTATAGAAAAGAATTCTTTAGATGATAGTAAATTACATAAAAGTACTATGCTTGCTGAAACTCCAGTGAACAGAATGAAATTGAAACAAATGGCCAGAGCAAGATATCTGAACATCTCAACTTGTGAACAGCAGCTGGACTCCTTGTCTGCATTC